TAAACTTCGTTCATTAATTCGCGGTGTAAATCAATCGAATATAAAACCTTTTTATTATCGCGGTTTAACATTAAGTGATACAGAAATTCAATATTATATAGATAAAAAAAATGAATATTATTATACAAATTCATTTTTATCATTTACAATTGATCGTCTATTAATATATTCAGGTAATTCAATAATTATATTAAAAACAGATAATTCGAGTGAATTAGCTAAGAAAAATATAGCTAATATATGGAAATGGAGTGCATGTACAGAAGAAAAAGAAGCTCTTTTAGCTGTTGGAACAAAATTAAAAATATTAAGTGTACATTATTTTGGTTATAAATGGGAAATTGAAGTTGAATTAGTTGAAGATGAAGAAGAAAATCAATAAATTTAAAAAAAAAATATTCAACTCATCTTATTGAAATTGTTTTTTATTTAATTCTGAATTGATCTACTAATCATTTCACAATATAATATGCTCCACTATAAGAACATTATAGAGACTTGCGATTTTCACCATTCAAGAGAGAAGATCTGAGGCCATCGACGTCGAATTGTGTCGGAATTTCATTAGTCAGCCATTAACCAATCAGGTGAGTTTTTGGTGGAGCTTTTTGAACTCGAGTCTTTTCTCTTGAATGGTGAAAACTGCGAGTCTCTTTGATGTTCCTATAGTGGAGCACATTGTATTCTGAAATAGATAGTAGTTATGATTTAAATATATCTTTTATACGAGTTTCTTTTAACTATGCCCTTCCTACAAGAAGATTAAATTTCACTTTAAAATAAGTACGATAAAAATATTTCAATGAATACTCACAAGAACTACTATGTATGTACATATTTTTCATGTCAAAATATGGCATCTTTAAATGTTCTCATTCGTATCGGTTATCGAATGGGAAAGGATTTCATTATAGCTATTTTATTTAAAAAATGATCATATACAAATTAGAAAACAATACCTGCATAGCTGGATACAACCGAAAAAATTCTTGGTAAAATGATAATTATTAAAAAATTCAAATTTCTTAAAAAAATATGTGTGTATAGTTTATTTATTTAATAAGCATTAGCATTAAGTTTTAATAAATTTTATTCCATCAATAATAATTTTCATGTTACACAATAAACTTCACAAGGTTTTCGATCTGTGAATATATCAAAAACATTGACCAATAAATACATAGGAATTGCACCCAAGAATGATCCTAACTGAACCGTTATACCAAAATAGAACATACCTTTTTCTTCTGACCAGTCAGCTTTAATAAAATTACCTGTTGTAATTCGTAGATAAGCAATGATAAATACCATTAAAAGCCAAATAACTACTATAACCGCAGCTCCATGTAATGTATCAGCCCACCATGGACATGGACTTTGTATAGCAATAATTATAATAAAAACAGCGAAAATAGATCCAATTATTGTTCCTATGATAGTCATACGAACCGATACAGTAGCCCATTTCAGACTAATTAATATTGACATGGAATATGACAAAGTAGAGAATACACAAAAATAGTAAAGTACTTTTTGTCCATAAGGTAATAGACTATACGTAGTTAAGGCCGGTAGAATACCATACAATATGAATGAGTTGTATGTGTTAATACATAGAAGAAAAATAAATGAGCTAGTAGCTATGTGTTTGACAGGTTTTGTTGATATAAATGAATCGATTACAGGAACCATAGGAGAATTTTCAGCAGTTTCTAAAGTTGTTTCAGGTGTATTTTCATTGAATTTCGTCTACAATATAGATTAAATCGATCAGTTCATAAAGCTTTATTTATTTGTAATTCAAAGATTGAGAGGAATGAAAAAATCTAAGTATAGCAGATCAAATGTTATAGTACTTTTTTGTTAGATTAGTTTTTTTCGTTACACTGTTCATCATTGAACATTTAAGAAAAAAGAAGTTGGTAACATGTCGATTAACAACAGTAGAAATGGTTTCTGTCTAGAAAGCTTTATCATGCTTGGAATTGACTTACAACGCAATAAGAAAAGAAGTTTTTATTTATTTTTTCCTATTTATTTAATTCTCTAATCGCTCAAAATTGATTTCGAGCTATGTTCATTCATGTCTCATGAAAATTTTCAGAATATGTTGAGGCTGTAGTGGAATGGCAATGATAGAATTTTCAGCTCTATACTATGACGTTTTCGGGAGATATTCATCAGACAAGTGTCAAAAGTAATTCTTTTAGCAACTCGAAACACCATCGTCTCTTGATAGAGCCCTTTTTTTCGACTCTTACTCTTTACCGCAAGAAAATCATGATGAGTTCAATGCCTCAAACAAGCGCTCTAAATATGACAAAATAAAAAAATTGATTAGTTACCATGAAGTTCCATCGAGAATTCTGAGATGCGCCATGAGAAAAATCATGCATGAAAAAAAAATTATTTTCTACTTTTTTTTTCTAAACAAATGGCAATTTGTTAAGCAAACAAACAGTGATAAACTTAATCGAAATTTGAAGTGACTAAGCATTCTCTTCACGTACACTTATACTCCGGAGACATTACTTTTCCCCATGCTTTTCTAGCTTCGATATTTTTCCCTTCGACCTTTCTGTGACTAACCCTCCGAGGCATATATCTTAGTTTCGATTCTTCTGATGAAAATTCACTTTTTTCAAGTTGAAATTCGATGCAATTTACACAATGATGAAAGTAATATTTATTTAATCTTGATTGAGAAATAACTTTCTTTATAGAAAAATTGTTTCGAACATATATTACCGGCTCTACAGCATCAGCTAATGTGACTATACTTGTCCAACGTAGTAGAAGAAATGCAATAAGTGATGCAATGATAATACTTGTAATAAGAAGCATATAAACAGTAACACTAAAACGTGGTTGAGTAAAAGTAGGTTCTAATCTAGTACCATTACTACTTTGTACACAAATTGCTTCACCTGCACTGCCTTGTGCTAATAACAATAGTGTAGGAATGACACCTGTAAGTCCTTCACCTAAAAATACTGCCGTCAAATATCGAATCCGAAATCGTTTCATATAATCAAAAAAGACAAGAGATGATGTA